TGTCCCACTCTGCATATCATTATCCAAATAGCTGCCTTGCAGCCTTTGACATTTAGTAGCATTACCATCACTGAATTCCTCACTATCAACATCCTGGAGTTTATCATTAAGCAGAAAATGAACTGGATAGATACATGAATAGGAAAGGTTTGGAGGGATGTGGGCCAGGAGCAGGCAAGTGGGACTAGTTTAGTTTGGGATTATGTTCGGCATGGACTAGTTGGACCGAAAGGCCTATTTCCGTGTTGCACGACTCTATGACTCTATAACAGCACCATGGGTGTATGTGCATCACATGGACTACAGACGCTCAAGAAGACAACTCACTATCACCTTCTCAAGGCAAGTTAGGAATGGTCAATAAGTGCTGGACTTGCCAAAGATGTCCACAACCATGCAAATAAATAAGTAACATTGTTCTTCATCATCCTTCCAATTCTGTTCCATTTTTTTATGTTAAAATTTCATCTGGAATCTGTCTCCTCCTTTTACTTGTCTAAGTCTTCCTAGCAATGTACTATGCTTTCAAATTTTGTGTCAGCTGCAAACTTAGCTTTGAAACTATGCCATGCATACCCAAGTCCAGGTATATAACAAAAAGAGTCATAGCCCTAACTACTGGAGAAGATCACTATATTTCTCTCATACTGATGAATAACCATCTATCAAGAAAGATGGGGATAAGGAGGCAACTGTTCTCTCAGAAAGGTGCTAATCTTTGAAATTCTGTTCCTCAGAATGGTGAAGTGTGGGATATCAATTATATTCAAGGTTGAGTTAGAAAGATTTTTGAGCTATAAATTAGTAAAGGGTAATGGGAGGGGAAGCAGACTGGAAAATGGAGTTGAAGCCACAATCAGATCACCCATGATCTTACTGAACAACAAAGCAGGACCAAGGGCTCAAACAACATACTCCTGATCCCATTTCTTATGTTCTTCCATTCTTATGTTCATCCATCACTAATCTCTGCTTTCTAACCTAGCCTACCTTGTAACTATGCTGCACTGCCCCTTTAATCCCATATGTTTCAACCTAGCTAACAAATCCATCATTTTATACTTTGATGAAACACTTTGGAAAGTCTCCAACACACAAAATCAACCTCATGAGTTTCATCAACTTTCTTCATTACTTCAAAGAATGCAATCAAGTTAGCCAAACACAACTTGCCTCAAGGGTCAGTTAGCTAAAGTTGGCTGGATGGCTGGTTTGCGACAGAGTGGTAGCAGTAGCACAGGTTCAACTTCTGTATAGTTGAGGTCAACAAGATGACCGTCATTCTTAACCTAAGATGTGGTGAGCCCCAGGTTAAAACTTCTTCTAAAAGTTTACTTGATGATCTTAATCATTCAGCAATCTCTAGACAGAATACTAGACTTTGCTTTGCAAGGGGAAATTAATCTTTAAATATTATTAACAAGAGAGACAAGTTGTCAAAACATCACCTTCTATTCGCTGAATGATTGAGGTATTACCATGGAATAAAGAGTGGGGTACAATAGGTTTCCCAAGCTCCAATGGTGAGAGCAGCCCTATGCCCATCTGGCACTACGGAGACTTCACCTTAACCATCATAAAATCATTAATTAATTCATGTTTTACAAGACACAATTAATGTGGGGCTAGATTATTTCCAAAACAATTGTCCAATAATGCTGGTCACATGCATCCGAGATTGCTCCTTCATATCAGTCTATCATTAAGGAAAAACATTATCTCGAACCTAAAGTTATTTCTCTGATACCGAATGAATGGCTGTGTCTTGGCTCTTCCGAATCCATTAAATGGCCAGAATAACTTAGATTAGAAAATTTCTTTTAGTTGATGTACTACAAATTGTTTACTTGATGAGTTTAATCATTCAGCAATCTCTAGACAGAATACTAGACTTTGCTTTGCAAGGGGAAATTAATCTTTAAATATTATTAACAAGAGAGACAAGTTGTCAAAACATCACCTTCTATTCGCTGAATGATTGAGGTATTACCATGGAGTAAAGAGTGGGGCACAATAGGCTTCCCAAGCTCCAAGGTAATTAAGGCTTGAACATGCTTTCATTTGAAGGAAAGGATCCCTGCTAGAAACAACATGCATTGAACACAAAGCTAAATCAGCCATGTTTATGAGCCTAATTATCTAAAATAGTTGCTAGCATTGCTATGAGCACACACAAAATTGTTCAGCAACTGCTGAATCAAAGAATGACATCAATGGTACAGACCATTTCCCTGGCATCGCACCAGTACTAAAATGCAGTGTTCATACAGTGGTATTTTTCCCTAACAAGATGTTGCCCACAGTTTAAAAATGTTTTTCTGCCTATTACCTAACTGAACAACACTAAGAATTTCAGTGCCAGCACAATGTCAGGCACACAGGCTGTACATCCCAACAACTGGCTATCAAATCCAACAGCACGTTCCTTCTGCTGTTCATGATAGACAGACTACAGACCCTACTCAAGCAGCCACGCTTGCAAACCACAAGCATGTTGGATGTAATTCTGTAATTTGTATTTTTGTTTAATTGTTTCTTTTTAACAATATTAAAATTAATCCTCTAATGCATTACATACATCAATATTTGTGACTAACAGCATCTGCAGCAAGGGTGACTGTGCATTGGTATTCCACACACTACATCATAATAAACCAATGAAAATACATGTTTTCCTCAGTTAACGACGCATATAATTACATGTCAGGATATAGGGCACCCAAAAGAGACCAACTCATTTATACATGGCTTAATTACCCTATTCAATCTGGTCCCTCAATCTTACTAGTCCTTTCTCAGTCATGATTTCACCGAAAACATGTCCATGCTATCAGCCTTAAAATAGTTCATGTGACAGCAAGTTGTGAATGCTCACTATGTTTGTTTAACAAAACTCATGTTATCACTTAATGACATCAACAGCATGCATAATTAAATTAACTAAGACCTTATAAAACTAGAATGGAAATTTCTTGATAGAAGACAATATAACTTGCATGGAGGGGCTTTTGTAGGACAATTGGAACATTCCTACCTCAGGGCTAGAAAGCCCAGTTTCTAGTCCCACTGTGCTGGAAACGTGTCTAAACAGGTTGATACAAAATACTTACAAATTAGCATGGATTGTAAGAAAACTAAAAACACGTTAAAATATTCAAATTTCAAGAATGAAATCTCAGAGTCATACAGCACAGAAGAAACTATTTGCTCTCTTGAGTCTGTGCCAACCAATCATCACTATTCCCACATCCCAGCATTTGGCCCATAGCCTTGAATGTTATGAAATTTCACACAATCATCCAACTACTTTTTAAAGGTTGAAAGGTTTCCACCCTCCACTAACCTTCCAGGCAACAGATTTCAGATTCCGCAAACCAGCTGGGTGAAAAAACATTTTTCAAATTCCATCTAAATTTATAAAGCTAAAGGTAGGAGGTTATGTCCTCTGGTTACTGATTCTTCAACAAGGGAACAGCTGCCATGCCCCTCAATCTTATACACCTCTAACAGGTCCCCATTCAGCCTTCTCCGATCCAAGGAAAACAACTCAAACATATCCAACCTCTCTTCATAGCTAAACTGTTCTATCCCAGGTAATATCTTAGTGAATCTCCTCTGCACCCCACCCAGTGCAATCACATCCTTCCTAAACTGTAATGACCAGAACTGCACACAGTACTCCATCTGTGGCCTAACCAATGTTTTGTACAGCTCCAACATAACCTTTCTACTGTTATAATCTATGCCACGACTATAAAGGCAAGTGTCATGTATGCCTTGTTAATTACCCTATTAACTTGCCCTGCCGCTTTCAGAGATCTATGGACAAACACCCCAAATTCCCTTTATTCTTCTGAGCTTCATGGTGTCTTGCCATTTATTAAGTGTTCCTGAGTTGGGAGTTAGCTCAATTGGCTGGATGGCTGGTTTGTGATGCAAAGTGATGCAACAACATGGGTTCAATTCCCAAATCACTGAGATTACCATGGAGGTCCCACCTTCTCAACCTCACTGCTCACCTGAGGCATGGTGATCCTCAGGTTAAACTGAGTACCATTTATCTCTCTTCCATGAGAAAGCAGCCTTATGAGCATCTGGTACTATGACAATTTTACCTTTACATCATGGCGTTTAGGACAGCTCAAATATCATATTGACAGTTTAGAAAATATTCCTTTATAAAACTGTTAATATTTTGCTGGATTCCATGCATTGACACCTATCCTTGATACATGTGCAAATTAAATATGTTGCGATTTGCATGAATTACTATGAAATAGCATCTAAATTTTTATATCCAAAGGTGAATACACATACATCAGAAGCACTGCAGGAGCAGACAATAACCAGCAGCTGTTCAGCTCTCCTCATAAAATACCACAACACTGTATTTGGATGTGACAGCTTATTGCTTTATGTTCTTCAGTGAAGAATAGTGAACATCACTGCCACATTTGAGACTTTATGAGGAGATTTAAAGAAGTGAAAACACTAGCTGCAAATGTCCAAATCTTCGTGTGTCAAAAGCATTCTTACCAAAGAGAAGGTAAGTATAGCATGCTAGCCCTTCAATGTGCTGAACACAAAGTAATGGACTAACCTTGGAACCCTAATCCCTAAGACAGAAGATTCAATCTGTTATGCCTTTAGTGGAAGAAACAATGGGAACAAAAATATATTTCCATGTGTTCCAGGAAAAATAACGCTATAAGTCTGTCAGCAGCTGATTCATCTGAAAGGCTTCAAAATATTTCCACCATGCCTTCCCCCACTGGGTGGGGTGTGGTAGCTGAAAATATATTTTAAAAAGAACTGATAGAAAACATTGCCAGAACAATTTCACTCCGCTCAATTTACAGCTAGTAACTATTAAAATTCAACACACCTTCAAACAGAACCTTTTAACTAGCCATTTTTAAAAAATTGATCCATAGAATAATGAAAATCTTGTTAATTGCTTGAAATATTCTAAACATGGCTTAAGTCCTTTGTAATTATACCTTCTGCCACGAGATGTTGTGCTTCTATTTCATTTCTTGTCCGAGCACCCCAGCAAATACATAGTATGTAGGATTCTGCTGGGGAAGAAGGATCCTTCTCCACAACAGTCATAGATAAAATTTAGAATAATTCGCTTTGTAAGATAAACCAAAAGGCCAATCAGCTTCCTTCTTGTCGAGTTACATTCTCACAGTCAACCTATTCATTAACCAGCCAAACATGAATCATTGGAACCTGGACCTTTTTAACCAGCGTCACAAGTAGTATACTTCCTAGTTGTAACACCGTCTGCATGTTTCACCATGATTTTACACAGTGGCAGCATTGCACATCCCACAGAGACCGCCTCCACACTGTGAAGGCATACTATTGCACTAGTAAGTATTAGATTGCACGAAGTGAGTATTTGAAGATCTCATTGGTTCAGTTTGCAATAAAACAAACAGACATGCAATATATAGGAACTCTTGCCAAACACTATTCAATGAGGTGGGGCACCACAGATTAGAATGTTTAACTTAAACCATAAGCATAGAAGGCAACTTGTTTTAGCATAGGTCAATTCCCAAAAAAAAAGGACTTCTCATCACTCAATCTCATCTTTTACACTGAAAAGGACCAAAATGATTTGCAAACAGTTCTCAAATGGAATTGAATCAATGGCATTCAATTGCCTACTCCTTTAAATATTTACTGAATTAATCCTTACATATTTTCACATTATTTACCTATGCTATGTCTCTGAAAACATTTTACAACATATTCGTTGATTTAAGCTTGAAATTACATGAACTAAGTATAGTGTTTGTGGCAATCTTGACCATCTTCATGGAGCTTAATTTATCTAATTTTGTGGAAAAAATAAAGAAAAAACAACAGATGCTGGAAATTTAACACAAAAAAGAAAATCACAAATGCTGGAAACACACAACCCAAATCAGCATTTGTGGAAAGGACAGACAAGTTAATAATACAACTGTGAATACTTACCCTCAGCAATTTCTTAGCCTCCCTGACAATGTTTTTGTTTCTTTCTTAATTATCCTGACATTTTTATATTTGTTTGAATTGATTGTGCTACTCACAAATTTATACTATCACAACATTTTTTTTTGCTTTTATTCCCAGGATCAATTCAATTACTTTCGTTTTCATGTTTACCTTCTTCACTTATGTTTGGGACAGTGTTTGTCTTCTGGCAAAGGCTCAGTTTAGGAAGTACCTTTCAGTAGACAATGAAACAGTAGATAATCACGTGGTGTCAAATATGCACACAATTTAAAAAGAAAGGCAGTAGGTAAATGCAAAATCAGAGACACCTGGTTGGTGTGACTAACATTTGACATACAATACATATCACAACAAAATATCTTGTTCTGTGGACTTATTTGACGACAGCTTAAAGGGTTCAAATTCCAAATCAGTACAATCAATTCCTTTTGAACTTTCTTGCTCAGATAAAGGTGAAAATGTTTGGATCAATATACAGCTTAAAATAAACAGCTTTTGATCCGCAATTCCTAAACAGATACACATTAATGTTTCACTTAAAACAGGAAAACATATTTGCTGGTGAAAGAAAAGTCAAGCAAGAAATATATATTATACAGCAACTAATAGATAATGGAGGGCTTACAGCAATTTCCAGCTCAGCAAAGATACAGGACTTGTGGGAAAAGAATCATAAGATTTGTAATACATAGTCCTATGTTTAGAAACAAAATAAGTATGGCGGCTCAGTAGTTAGCACTGCTGCCTCACATCACCGTGGACCTGGGTTCAATTCCAGACTTGTGACTGGCTGTGCAGTTTGCACGTCCTCCCCATGTCTATGGGGTTTCCACTGGGTGCTCTGTTTCCTTCCACAGTCAAAAGATGTGCAGGTTAGGTGGATTGGCTATGATAAATTGCCCCATAATGTTTAGGCTAGATGGTATAGCCATGTTAAATATGGGATTATGGGGATAGGATGGAATGTTCTTCGGAGGTTTGGTGCAAACTCACTGGGCCAAAAGTAGGAATTCTATGAAATGTAAAATAAAAATGTTAATGTTGGAAAAGCACAACAATATCCAGAAAGGGAGAATAAAGGTGTTTAAAATTTAGCCTCATGCCTTTGTTATGGACCAGACCAAACCACCTTCAAATATATCCAGGTGATGGCCCAGACCTCAACTTTAAAGACAAGTGCAAGGTGCTGCATTCCAGATGTAATTCAATTGGCCACACTATTCGGTTTTAGCAAAACACAATTTATTCTTATACCCAGTTAAAACATAAACAAAAGAAAGAAGAATTGGTATAATTTCAACTCTATTGGAAAATTTAACAGAATAATACATTATTTAACTACTAAACAGTAACTGTTCCAATATAGTAACATCCCATAAACACACCCTTGGCAAAGACAAAGACTGTAAAACAGACTGTCTCACATGTAACTCTGGCAGCAGAAAGAGAATCCAAGCCTTTAGCATAGCAGAGGCAGATGTAGCAGCTTCCACAGCCAACTTCAAAACCCCAGCAACTGCTGAAAGCTAAACTAAAACCCTGGTTCTGTGGGAGCCTGAGTCCACACATTCATGCTGCTTCTATTGCTCCGACTTCTAAGGAAAAAAACAAGGCCTCACAAGGTGTTTACTTTATTGGCTTTGAGGAGACAACTCGACACCTATTGCCCAAAACCTCTCCAAAATCAAATCAGGACAAAATATACCTCTTACACTGTAGTTTCCTCAAAATTTACAACAATAACCAAGAGAAAAATCAATAAATGAATAAAATCAAAATTCACGATCTGATGCCATAGTTGCTGCTTCAACACAATGTCTCAACTGATTTATGTTGCAAAAATTAGAAATGCTTGCAATTACTTTTACCTGGGAGGCAGCAAATACAGGAGGCTGTGAGATATCAACTGAGCCCGAGATCCACTAAATCTGCAATCCCAGCTCACACTGAGTTTTTTTTTGTGTAAGGTTTGTAGCTCGGGCTGTGGTTGGTTGGCTCGCCGAGCTGGCTCATTGTTCCGCAGACGTTTCATTACTCTGCTGGGTAACATCATCAGTGCATCCTCCGATTAAGCACTGTTGTGTTTTCCCGCCTGTTATTTAAACTGTGGTGTCCGTTGAACTGGGTTACCTCACTTCCGGTTTTCCTTCGCAGTGGAGTATATATAGGGTCTAGCTCTATGTATTTGTTGATGGCTTTCTTAGTGGAGAACCAGGCCTTTAGGAATTCCCATGCATGTCTCTGCTTGGCCTGACCCAGGATCCTGGTGTTGTCCCAACCAAACTGATGGTTTTTCTTATCCATGTGGATGGATATGAGCGAGTATTGGTTGTGTATTTTTTGTTGCTAGTTGATGATCATGTACTTTTGAGGCTAATTTTCTTCTTGTCTGTCCAATGTAATTTTTGTCACAATTAGCCACAAGAGCACACAAACATCAGCAGGGTAATGATGTTACCCAGCAGGGGAATGAAACGTCCGTGGAACAACAAACCAGCTCATTGAGCCAACCAACCACAACATCACGCTGATATTCCAAAGATGCAAACAACAGCATGCCAACATCACTCCTACACTGCATGGAATCAATAAATCTAGTCATTTGGATTTCAGCACTGGATTAGAACATAGAACATAGAACAGTACAGCACAGTACAGACACTTCGGCCCACGATGTTGTGCCGAACTTTTACCCTAAATCTAAGGTCTATCTAACCTCCACCGCCACCTTATACTATCATCCATATGCCTACCTAATAGTCGCTTAAATGTCCCTAATGAGGCTGACTCCACTACCCTCTCAGGAAATGCATTCCACACCCCGACCACTCTGAGGAAAGAACCTACCTCTGACGTCTCCCCGGTATCTACTTCCACTCACTTTAAAACTATGTCCCCTTCTAAAAGCTACCTCCACCCTAGGAAAAAGTCTCTGGCTGTCTACTCTATCTATACCTCTGATCATTTTGTACACCTCTATCAAGTCACCTCTCATCCTTCGTCGTTCTAAAGAGAAAAGGCCTAGCTCTCTCAACCTTTCCTCGTAAGACCTTCCCCATTCCAGGCAACATCCTGGTAAATCTCCTCTGCACCTCTTCCAACACTTCCACATCTTTCCTGTAATGAGGTGATCAGAACTGGACACAGTACTCCAGATGTGGCTGAACCAGGCTTTTGTATAGCTGGAACATAACTTCACGGCTCTTGAACTCAATCCCTCTATGAATGAAAGCTAACACACCATACGCCTTCTTAACAACTGTATCCACTTGGGTGGCAGCTTTCAGGGAACTGTGGACATGAACCCCAAGATCCCTCTGCTCCTCCACACTGCCAAGAATCTTTCCATTAACCCTGTATTCTGCTTTCAAGTTTGTCCTTCCAAAATGAATCACCTCACACTTTTCAGGGTTAAACTCCATCTGCCACTTCTCCGCCCAGCTCTGCATTCTATCAATGTCCCTTTGTAACCTAGAAGAGCCCTCCGCACTGTCCACAACGTGACCCACCTTCGTATCGTCCACAAACTTGCTAATCCACCCTTCCACTCCTTCATCCAAATCATTTACAAAAATCAAAAATAGAAGAGGACCCAGAACAGATCCTTGTGGTGCACCACTCGTAACTGAGCACCATGTTGAATATTTTCCGTCCACTACCACCCTTTGTCTTCTAAGGGTCAGCCAATTCTGAATCCAATCTGCCACATTTCCCTCTATCTCATGCCTCCTTACTTTCTGCATGAGCCTACCATGGGGAACCTTATCAAATGCTTTACTTAAATTCATGTGTACCACATCCACTGCTCCACCTTCATCAGAGGTGTTTGGTCACCTCTTCAAAGAATTCAATAAGGTTTGTGAGGCATGATCTACCCCTCACAAATCCATGCTGACTATCACGAATCAAACTGTGCCTTTCCAAGTGATCATAAATCCTACCTCTCAGAGCCCTTTCCAATAATTTGCCCACCACTGACGTAAGACTAACTGGCCTGTAATTTCCAGGGTTATCCCTGTTCCCTTTTTTGAACAAGAGAATGACGTTTGCCTCTTTCCAATCTTCTGGCACTATACCCATGGACAATGAGGACAAAAAGATCATTGCCAAAGGCCCTGCGATCTCGTCCCTCGCTTCCCATAGAATCCTTGGATAAATCCCATCAGGCTCAGGGGACTTATCTATCTTCAACTTCCTCAGAATTCCTAGCATG